CTGAAGCATCTGCTTGACGTCAGCCAATTGTTACATGGAAGCAGAGCTATACATAGGCTGGGAGACCCTAAGGCTACAGGAGTTCCTACAGAATACCAAGCTGCTGCATGAAAGGACACAGGAAATTGTTTACACTACATAGATCACGTAAAATGTGTAATTGTACCATTTACACGTTTTACCTCACTGTACAATTTGCCATTCTCCCATCTCTAGATTGTGACATGATCAGGAAGACTATCTTTCTTTTCTTACTGTTACTTGCTTGGCTTTACAATAATGACATCTAATTTGTACTCTACTCTTCTCTATCCAATATAGACCATTAAGTAGGGCGGTTTGGGTCATGTGGGGGGGGTGGAGGCGCACTGCTGCACAATGTTTCTGCCATTCCCTTTCTGGCCAGAGCATTGCTAAGAGCCAGAAAGGGAGATATATAAGCGATGCTCTGGCTGGTGTCCCACCCAGCTCCTGGCAACCAGTGATATCACTGGTTACCAGAGGTTGGGTGGGAAGCAGGCCTGAGCTAGAGCAGGGTGAAGAGATGATGCAAAAGCCACCCCCCTCCCCCCCAGGTAGCATGCTCCACCAGCAACCACCCCCACACCCTACCGTTTCAGGCGGTGAAAAGGCTAGGGACGCCTCTGCGCCTGCTCTTCAGTTGCCGTCTGCTCTTCAGTGTTCCTGGAATAGATATTTTTTCACTTTTCAAAATACAATAGAGTCCAGTAGGGATAGTCAATAATTTATATTTGTCCCTTTTGTTTATTTATAGATTTGAAATGGTCTGAAAACCCCCAAGACAACTCCTTTCAGATATAATTCTATAAAAATACCTAGTGGCTGCACCACTGCCCAATTCTATTTGACCTGCAATAATAAGGCTGGATGATGCTGTAGATCATTTCTGTGCAAGCTGAAACTTCTATGCAACCGTCTCACTGTCCTGAAGATGCCAGTCCATAATCTGTACATAAAGGCGAGTAAGGCTTTGTGTTAAGACATAAAGACATAAATGGTCCTAGTGACAGATGATACAGGTGAAACTCGAATAATTAGAATATCGTGCAAAGTTCATTTATTTCACTAATGCAACTTAAAAGGTGAAACTAATATATGAGATAGACTCATTACATGCAAAGCAAGATAGTTCAAGCCGTGATTTGTCATAATTGTGATGATTATGGCTTACAGCTCATGAAAACCCCAAGAACCCCAAATCCACAAACTCAAAAAAGTAGATTATTACATGCAATCAATAAAACAAGGATTGTACATAGAACAATATCGGACCTCTGAAAAGTACAAGCATGCATATGTACTCAGTACTTGGTTTGGGCCCCTTTTGCAGCACTTACTGCAATTACTTTTGCACGATATTCTAATTATTCGAGTTTCACCTGTATGCCACAAGGGAGCATGTGAAGCAAAGCAAATTTAGGCTTTAGTTTTGCTTTGAAAAAGACTCCAGCTCCTCTGCTTTTGAGAGAATTTAACATGGGGACAAATGGGTCTTTTTCTGACATTATGGAGCTTGATGGTGCTTCTACATCCAGCATGCCAAAAAAAATAAAATAGGATTGGCATGGGCATTTTTCATAAGGGGACAGAGCAAACTGTTCATTTTGACCCATTCCACAAAATACAAACTTTTCTCCAACTTTATGATTTCTATCAGCTAGGCTTAATCAATGCAGGCTTTCTTAAAATCCCTTTTTACTTTCATATAAATTTCCATACAATGACATAAGGGGTGAGCAGCTAGCAACCAACCTATTTTTTAATGTTATATAAAACAAGAAACGCATGATGATTGGTGTTTTCATGGGTGTATATTAAAAAGTCCTTGAAAGTTTTATACTCTAACTAAAAAAAATAAAATATGCCTATCCTGTTTAATAACCCTTGTGCACTACACAAAAATGGCCTAACCCCAACTTTACTGATAGAAAGACAATCCAGCAGCTTTTCAGTATTTCTAAGGCCATATAATGCCTCATGTGTGCAGCTTAGGCCGGTCCAAAGCGTACCTTAAATTATTCTGGTATTTGGTGCAGGAATGTTGGGAATTATGGCAGTAAAACATAGGATAGTGTAGATAATAAATATACCTGAAGTCATTTACAGTTAATGCCTTGGTTTTATTGGTGATGTCTGATCATCTTTTAATGTACACTAGGGCTGCATTGTTTCATATAAACTCTTACATTATACTTTGGGAATAACGGCCGTAAAACTAGGCTGTATTAGATATTTATGCAACTGTGTTTATGAAGGATTATGGCTTCTTATAATGACATAACATATGGTTGTCTGAGATCCAGCCTTAAGAGTAGAACAGTACACTACAAAAGGGAGCAGCCTCCATGTGGATTTCTAAACAGAAAATGCCTTTTGGGAAAGTACATATGATTTTCTCAGCTGCATGAACGGCCCCTATAGCAATGTATGGGATCGTTCATGTCGGCAGATCCGCGTAGATTTGGCCGAACCGCCCTGGTGTGAAAGGGGCCTTATAAAGGAGTCCTAATGCACACTGTTTGTAAATGACATTTTCTACATTTCTTCCCTTTATGCTGAGACAGGCGCTGCTGCATTCACAACAAAACTCTGAAGCACTGTATTATTTACTGTCGCAGAATGGGTCACCTGCCATTTATGTCATGTCTGCCTGAAGCTGTGTGTACTGCACATGCAAACGCTATAAAAAAGAATAGTATTTTTACACAACATGCTGCAATAAAATGAACAAAGGTTTGCTGCATTTAAAGTGCTGTAGGCTTTATATAAGAACTACACATGTACAAGAGAAGTGTAGGAATTCTCCCAAAAAAAGTCTGGAGATAGAAAAGAAGATATGGAGAAAATGCCATGGGAGAGATCCAAATCAGTGTAGAAGTTTTGAATCAAAAATTATGTTTCAGGTTTGTAAATAATAGGATGCATGTGCTCATATATATACAGTTGCAAGAAGCCCAGCTAGGGGGTCAAGCAACCTGATGAAGCAATTGTGTAGAATGTGTGTCGATCTCTATGCTCACTGAGGTATTCTGAATGATCATTTACCAGACTGTATTATCCCAGTGTGCAATGGCATGGGAGACCCAAAAAGTATAAGGAGCCAGAAGAGGCACCAATGGTGAAGGCTTTTTTTATCAGAAGGTAGGTATTCATCATCATGTACATCATATTTCATTGTATGTATTTATCATTTATTTTTCCAATGTTTATAAGTTGCTTATTTATTTTTGACTTCATTTTAGCATAACATTTTTATCTATTACCGATATACCGATCCTAAAGAAGTCCCTTCTGATGTGAAAACCTTTAAGACTCCTCTTTCACCACAGTTGCCTCTGCTGACTTCTTCTCTTTTTTGGGGCCAAAGTCCCCCACTTCTATACTATACTAGTACAAAGCTCCATTCATATGGTAAAATGCTTCATTCGATTTTTAAGGTTTTAAGGTTAGAACTAAGATTCCAGAATCAGAACAGTAACTTATGTTTACAAGATGCTCCTTGGGGAAATGACTGAAATGATGAATGCTGAAATACTTATAAAAATATGTTTGTATGTGTTGAAGTCAGCAGCTAGTAAGAAACCTATCAAGCTCATCAAAATAGCACTCACCTGTATGGCTCCTAATCCAGTGACTGTAGTCCACTTCCAGGATCTGTGGCCAAATACAACCACAGACCAAAATGAAGACTACAAACGTAGGAGACATGCTGAGACTGCTCTCAGGTCCCAGAAGTGAATCACAGCAAGACCTTTGGCCAAATATCAGAGTATTTTAGAAGAAGTGATGACTATGATTTACCTTAGTAATACTGTACATTTTTCCAAGGTCTCTGTATTTGCTACAGTACAATGCTGACTGGACTGGGAGGATCTAAGTGACAAATATATTATTCCAGTTTCGCAGACTTGTTAAGAGGGTCATAATCATGGGACCCAAAGGGGGAGAACTATTTAGAAATGGCTGTGGCTTCATTGGATGTGGTTGAATGGATTCAGATAGGGTTTGGTCACATTGCAGCAGAGTTTATACATGTCCTGATTTCATATTTACAGATATTAGGAGGTGGAAGGTACGTGTACATCATTCATGTGAGGTTGCCACAGTAATCCACAATTGGGTAGAAGCTAGGCATCCATAGTGCTTGAACACTTACTGATGGCACCTAACATATATAGCATGCACATATTCACAATGTTGACAGTGTTTGCATCACGGTTGTGGACTATGTAAGAACATTCATAGAACATTGCAGTTTGGCAGTCCTGCTACTAAGCTTCCCAGAAGGCAATAGCTTAACGAACACTTACGTCTTCTTACCCTGCTTGCGTTTTTGGCCTTGAACACATGGGTTTCAGTTTATATAAGAGGAGTGTGTTCAGCAATCTGTTACAAGTTAATTGCAAAGCTTTTCGCATGCTTCAAGCAGTTTTCCAAAAGCCTTTAAAGCACCCGTCAACAGCAGTATCAGGATGCTAAATACAGATCTTAATGGGAGTGCTGATTGTCACTGTAAACAAGCTGCAAGCAAGCATTTAGAAAGCTGCAGCAGTGTTTAAAACTTGCAGAAGCCTCCTAACAGCAGCCACGCTAATATTTTGATCTGTTTAACATCTCCAAATTCCAGCTGAAGGGTGCTTTAGGAACTTCAAGAAAATGTTTTTTTTAACTTTGATGAAAGCTTTGCAAATGTTTTATAAAGTATGCTGTGCGCTCGTATGAAAGCTGATGCCCACTGTGTACAAGGCCTTGGGGGCTGAAGTTAGTTCCCTACATCAAAATGTCCTGAGAGCACAGGATTCAATCCTGCTCATGTAGTGCCATCTCAAATCATTCAACATGGTCAGATTGTCTTTCAGGATTCCTGCAAATAAGATGGAGTCGCTGAAAACTCCTCAAATTTGCCACCTTGAACTGCCCCCATTGTCCCGAGCAATTGCGAAAAGTCATTTTAAATTTATTGTATGGGGAATCATGCTTTTACTTCCCTGTTCCACACAGAGTGTGAATACTATAGCTTGTGTCATTACAATTAAAGATGTAGAGCGGTAACCCTATCCTGGGGTGATCACACTGCCCATTGTTATATCAGTTGGATATAGCCAAGGGCGATAATGACACCCCAGTGTTTGTATCTTGGCAGTCAGAGCTGGATTCCCAGCACTATTGCATGGAAATTTCTGTAAAAAATATTCAGTACCTGTAATGTAACTGATGCCACAACAGCATGAGATCTGAAGGGTTTGACAGTGTTTGTGAATGTTTAAGTGTGTTACTTGTTTCCAGCATTACACTGCCTCTACCTGTAAACCACAAGAACATATGTTGTATCTTGGCTCTGCTTTCTGATTCATATTGCAGTCAGGTGCTGCAAATGTACAACTACTCATAAACAGCCCTTCTGCCCTTAGTATTTTTGCAGGCCGGTCAGGATCAGGCTGTTTTTCTCCCGCAGTGCATTCTTGCCTCTTGGTGCTACCCTGAAATTTACACTTGGTGGCTGTGCCTCATGGCATGCACTGCCATGCAGGAGAAGTGTGTGTATGTGTGTTGGATGGGTGTGTGGAGAGGAATTCCTCTCAATAGCTGTCCTTGGGCCAGGGGCGGTTGCGTTGCCAGTTCCTGTCATTGTGGTTCTGCTCAGAGTCACGCTCCAGAAGGCGGTCCTGAGAGTCATGGCCATTGGTGTTGTGCAAACCACTGTTGTGGTGCCGGTGAGGCTGGTACAGGTCCTGGTAGGCATCAGAGTATTCCTCCTCCATGTGGCGGGAGCTCCTCTGGGAAGAGGCCGTCCAGGTTTTACGAGAGGTTTCGCTTGCCTCATCTGACTGCATTAGGCTATCACGTTCTAGGGGGGAGTGCTCATTGGCTCTATCCGAAAGAACTTGCTGGTTCTAGGAGCAGAAAGAGAGAGAGAGTTGTCCATATCCAAGCACACACATAAACATCAAACAAGTGTTAAAGTTCACCCAGCGTGCTCAAAGAAGATAGCTATTTTGTGGCTGTATGGCCAGTTGTGTATTTAGACATCATGCTGCCTTATACACAACTAAACTAATACACAACTAAATGATGATGCTGATTTGTACTCTGCCCCTTGTGTTATGTGAATATTTTAGTACAAACTGGTGCTAAAATGTGCTACTGGGGGCAACATGTGGTCTGCTTTGTATGCAGAGCTACTTTTTACATGTACTGACCATAAGACAAGAGGAAGGAAAGATGGTTTTGCATTTCCTGAACTATAAAGAGTATCCTCTTACATTCCCTTGCACCCCCACCTAAACACTAAGGGAGCTATTTGTAATGGAGAAAAGTGGGAAGTTTGTTCTTTCCTTTAACAAAATGTTGCACTTTGGCTAAATGATGAAAGATTTTTTGCCAGTTTGCAAGTTTGAAATTTCAATGATTCTAACATTACTTTTTTTCACTACTATTTATTTTATCTGCACATGACTGGGCAGTCAAAGTGAACACAGCTACAATGTATTGAGTGAACTGATAAAACAAAGATTACAACTGCTGGCCTCTCCTTTAGAAAATGTGAGCTTCCTGACTTTCATACTGTTCATAGTGGCTTCCCTACATTGAGAGTCACTGATCTGGCACCAGTATGTACAGCAGGTGTCAAACCAGAGACATCCAGGCACCCAGTATTTTCAGAAGAAAGACAGCAAGTGCGGACGCAGCCTTTAAGAGTGGTGAAATTATGATTTCAGATTTCTTTTTCTGCATTTTTTTCTGTCTACTGTCAAAAGATACCATATTGGTTTTTCAACTTCGCTCTTCTAAAAACCAGGAAAGTAAGATGTTGCAGAGCTGTTCACTCGTTCAAACATTGTAGCTTTGTTTACATTATATACCCAATCATGTGCAGATAAAAAATAAATAGGACTTTGCCTTTCATGTGATTGGATAACTGAAGTGAATCCTCACTCAACTGATTGAATCAGCCTCTATGTCTTTGCATACAGGTAACACAACAGATGAACTAGTGCAATGTAAAGTCTCTAATAATAAAAGCACACCTGGGGAATGTCATGATATGAATGGCGGTACCTCTAAACCAGGGATGGCAGTGGGTGGTGTCATTAGGTTCTGGCTAGTCTGTTGGTGCGAGGGGTGATGTGTGGCTCTCCAGTACACCTCCATATATTCAGCAAGGTGCTCACAGGCATCTTCTAACTGATTCTCATCCAAAATGACATCAAACAGTTCCTAAAAACAGAATAAGGAGGAATATTAAAAATAACCTATATTAACAAGGAATGCATATCTTAAAATTAATTTTCATATTGCTTTCACGATTTTAGAAGACTGCTCTCCTGTATTTTTGTTTTTGTACTTATTATATTCTTGGCATCATGAAATAATCTGTTATCTATTACTTCCTGATGAGTCCTCCATTTTTATCTTAATTTGTGGCCTTCACATACCTTTGAATTTACTCTCTACTCTACTTCAATACTTCTCGGTTCTGGTCTAGCAGTGAGGGGAGATCTACAGCACAATAGCTGCAATGTACCCCTCAGCTCTGGAACTAAATATCCAAACATGCTGAACAGTTTGTCCCTGTTGGGGAGCAGGGGAGAAATGGACTGTGTGGGCATTCCAAGTGTCCATTACACCAACGGGCTCTGCTACTTATTGTAGTGATGTCATTACACACCCCTTTCATAACAAGGTGAGTGTCCATGACAATTGTGCCAAAGAGGAGGTTCCTAGGTGATGCTGGTCATCACACCACCGGGATGTAGGAAAGCCAACCTGAATTTCCTGTGTAGATCAGAGAGAGATAGTCAGAGGTGGACTGTGTGGGCATACCAAAGGGCCAGGGTACCAAGGGGATCTGTTTGGTGTGGTGATTTGCCCTGTGAAGAGGCAAAAACTGAGTGAATGGAGCGGGTCTTCAATGCAGGAGAAGAAAATAAAGCATCTGGATGACATCCACTATCTCATAAATGGAAATAAGTGAACCAGGAATTGGGCTCTAACAACTGATGGAAGAAGATAGTAGCCACAGCATGAAAGGGGAACTTGTTTTTAATAAGTTGGCCAACTGGTAGACTTCTTTTGGGAAAAAGAGTGTTATAGCGCAACTATTGTGTAGGAGGAAGCAAAACCTGTGTATTGATCAAATATGGTTACCCTATGCACCTATATAATTACAAAGGGAACAGGGACACCGGCACTCCAAAGTTTGCCTAAATACAAAGTCTTTTTTATTGAAGAAAGTACGACGTGTCACAAAGTTGCGACGACCATTTCGGGGTCACACAGGATACCCTTCGGTCTCGTTCACACCTAGGCGTATTGCATATGCGCGTCTGTCGCGCGACCGTCGCGCATTTTTTACCGTGATCCACGGTAAAAAAGTCGCGCGACAAACGCGTGTTTCCGAAGGCTACTTGGCTGTATCCCAATGGAAACGCGCAACGAAACGGCCCAAAGTAGTACCTGTACCTTTCCAGGCGTGGGCCGTTTTGTAGCGCGTTAGGGACGGGTGGAAATACGCCAAGGTGGGAACGAGACCATTGAATACAATGGGATTTATATTTTTGAGCGTTTTGTAGAGCGTTCGTCGAGCGTAGAACGCGCTACAAAACGTTCAGGTGTGAACGAGGGCTTCCTCAAGCAATGACATGTGGCAACAGTGCAGAAACAAACAGTTTAAATAACAAACACCCACAAAACAAAATCCAATCAAAAAGCAGTTCAGTGACCCAGTGACGTCATATATGACGTCACATATCCGCCAGGAACAGTTCAAAATACAGTAGTAGGCAGCCGATGTAAACACAGAAAGTAAATACAGACTTGACCCAGGTTTCCCCATAAAATAAACGCAATCTGAACGTTGTGTGAGAATCAGACTAAGTATATGCTATATGCGACTTACATGCTATCCTCTGATGATAAATGAATGCGGCAAGAAAACCGCTATGTGCCGCTGGACCTGCTCGTCCTGATGTGTGGAAGGAGAGATCCACAATCACGGGCTCCATGTCTCCGCCTCTCGCTGTTCCATTGGTCAGGGGGGGTCCCACGTGATTCCGGCTGGGTTCCGCCCTAATTGCGGTAACCCAGCAACACTCCACATCTACTGGGCTGTCATGTACGGACAGCCCAGGATCGCCCTGAACAAAACTACCAAAGGTGAACCCTTAGACACCAATAAACCTGTAGCTATACATTTTGCCAAACCCAAACACCAGACACATTAACTCAGGGGCATGGTGATTGACCAGAGTGGAGGTGATCATAATAAGCTACTTTTACTGAACGATAATAACACATTTTTGCCTTTTTTGCCTTTCTGCATATTCTACTGCGTATAGATCATCCAGCACATGAACTTGGTTCATACTGTGACAGATTCCTGGCGCGAATGTGACGTCATATATGACATCACTGGGTCACTGAACTGCTTTTTGATTGGATTTTGTTTTGTGGGTGTTTGTTATTTAAACTGTTTGTTTCTGCACTGTTGCCACATGTCATTGCTTGAGGAAGGGTATCCTGTGTGACCCCGAAATGGTCGTCGCAACTTTGTGACATGTCGTACTTTCTTTAATAAAAGACTTTGTATTTACGCAAACTTTGGAGTGCCAGTGTCCCTGTTTCCTGCTGTTACATGACGGTTGCCATCCGTCGACCACCGCAGCACCCATATATCTTTCTTTGGAGACAAGCGGTCAGGAGTGCGATGGGTTCATGGATCTATACTTATATAATTACAAATTCACATAATGTCAAGATTGTTCATTTTCTTTATGTTAAATACAGCAAGTTATTTTTTTTTACTTGTTAACCTAAAAAAACAGTGAAAGGATCATACATTCTATGGTCTCTGCTTAGGTAGGAAACCAGAAAATCATACTCTCATATATTTTTTTTATGTATTTATGTTAGTTAAAAGGACACCTTAAATATAGTAACGTGCTGTCCTAAATGCTAAATGTAAGACTTTGTGCCTCCTTTTTATCCCATGTCTCTCCCTGTTGCACTTTCTTTAGCTCAGTCTATCCATAAGGGGTCATAAGGGGTCAAATGGCTGTGTGTGCCACTTTTACTAAAAAGTGGCACACACTTCAATGGTTTTGTTTACCCTTTCCCTTTTTAAAACTTTTGCCTCATTTCACTGAACGAAACAGCCATATATGATTGTAGGGTATTAAAATGGTGCAATGCTTGAAAGAATGTATACCTAAAATGCTCTCAAATCAATAAAATCTTCCCAATTTAAATGTCAAGCTATTCCTAGCATTATAAAACTGTGAGCTAGTATTCGAACATATCTTTTTTTTTTTTTTATCATTCAATTTTTATTATTTTAAACAGATTGACTTTGACATGTACTCTTTACACAAATTACGACTGAACAAATCAAACATTAATGATGGCTGGTAACCCTCACTCCCGCCCAGTCCTTCTACCGACCTGCGGGGTGACATTATCCGCCACCTACCTCATACAAAGCAGATTACAGCCAAAATGACAATAAAGAGAAAGAAAAAGGG